CCAATTGAAATTCATCGCCAATTGGTGGAAGTGTATGGCGAGTCATGCATGGACATAAAGAACGTCCGCAAGTGGTGTAGGGAGTTTGAATCTGGTCGTACTGCAATACACGACGAAAAAATAACTGGGAGACCGTCAATTTCTGACGAGACAGTCGCGAAGATTGAGCGAGTCATGCGTCAGGATAGGCGCATCACACTCGATGATCTCTGCATTTCGGTTCCCGAGGTTTCCCGAACCACCATTTATCGGGTTTTGACAGAGAAGTTGAATTATCGGAAGCTGTGAGCAAGATGGGTCCCACAAATGCTCACGGAAGACCACAAACGGCAGAGAGTTGACTCTTCCCGTGAATTTCTTCGCTGCTATGCTGACGAAAAGGACAACTTCTTGAATTCAATCGTCACAGGCGACGAAACCTGGGCGTACCACTTCACACCTGAGACAAAACAACAATCACGTCAGTGGCGGCATTCCTCTTCGCCTAAGCCTCGAAAATTCAAGCAAACACAGTCTGCCGGTAAAGTCATGGCAACTGTGTTTTGGGATCGAAACGGGGTATTGTTGGTTGACTTTATGGAAACTGGGACCACAATAAACGCTGAGAGATATTGTGAGACACTGAGAAAACTCAGGCGGGCGATTCAGAACCGGAGAAGAGGGATGTTGAGCAAGGGCGTAAGCATTCTCCACGATAACGCTCGCCCCCATGCTGCCCGACAAACCGTAGCTCAACTGCAACAGTTCGGATGGAACATCATCACCCATCCACCCTATAGTCCGGACTTGGCGCCCAGTGACTACCATCTCTTTCCAAAGTTGAAAGAACATTTGTCTGGAAAGCGCTTCAACGACGACGATGAGGTGAAAGCTGAGGTTCGAAGTTTCCTGAACAGCATGGAGGTGAACTGGTATGACATGGGCATACAAAAAAACTGCCACTGCACCTACAAAAATGCATCGACCGAAATGGCGATTATGTAGAGAAATGAGTACATGTTCAAGATTCAACTGATGTATCCAAAATTGAAAATAAATGTTTATTTTATATTTTCAAACATAGGAGACCTTACTTTTGGAATTACATGAAATTCAAGGTAAATTTCATAAAGTGGTCAAGCAGGTAAAAGAGGTGCTCATTAAATCTTGTTTTAACAAAATATTGCCAAGGTCAGAGAAGCAAGAAACATACAACCTATTCATAGCAGACTATGAACTTTAACCACCACACAACAGCAAGGAATGTTACAATTCCATTTTACTGCATAACTATTGTAAATAATTTTTCAAGAATTTTTACAACATAAAACATGCATCATCGTATTAGATAACATGATTACTTGAATGAATTAGCAGTAATTCAGCGCTGCAGCAGGGGGGGGGGTTAGCAGCAGCAATGGCAACAGTAGTAGTAGCAGCAGAACAGTAACAACCAAGCAAAATCAATAACAATAAAAATGTAACAGACATCACAGAGGAAAAATGATTATCCACAAACACAGGCACATCCTCCAGAAAACATGGAAGAATATACAAGGATATAAATAAAGAAGAAGAAAGAAAGAAAGGATATAAGAATGCCAGCAATAGTGTACATCTCAAGATGATAAAGCCTAAGTACAAATACAAGAAGATCCTAGACCACTTACACTGAAAGCATACGTGAAATTGCAGAAAGAAAATCAAGTAGTAAGACTGTCCATTAATTCTATACATCCCCATCAGTTACAAAAATACCCATTCATGACAATGAGAAAATCACAAGACAAATACGACAGGATAGCAATAAACCAAAACTAGTAATGAAAGGTGTTATGTTACTTACAAATATAGTTCCTGGTCAAAATTATTTCCAACACAGTGACAAATTTTATAAACTTATGAGAAACTGTGATTCATTCCACAGTATTACATTAGTATATTTATATTTTACAGGGAAGAAAATGGGATAACAGAAACGGAAAGAAGGAATACCATATGTTACCTCAGGAAAGGAGGCAATTGTTAAAAAGTGAACAACAAAAAATCAACAAAATTCACAAATCAATTATGTTTACTGAAAGGCAAACTAAATCACTTGCAGTTAATCATCTGAAAAGATAACAATAAATTACAATTCCAGATATGCAGAAAACCTGCTGCAACTAACACTGCCATAAACAAGAGGTCAAACTACCTACCAGATTTCAATTTAGGCAGCTAAAGCGTGATGATAACAGATTACATACAGTGCCCTTAACCGAATAAGCCAAACTGAAAAACAGAAAATAGACCAAGGTAATGAATACAAATAAGAAGTCACACAGAAATTACAATGGGACACTCTGAAAAACGAAAGGCAAAAAACAGGACAAATCTTCAGGAAGTTATATGTATGAATAATAAAAAAAAAAGGATTACATTTACATATAAGTGAACTCTCAATTATCTGTGGGAGGGGAAAATTGGCATGGATAGTTAAAACAATGATGAATCATCCTAAATATGGGAATGTCTGCTTTCTAAGCCACATTCAACCCTGACAGTCAGTTAATTATTACTTACTGGTCATGATACTGGTCCCTAAACTGTGAGGCAAATATCTTACCATAGAAGAACACAACCTTGTTCTGTGGTAGGCCTGTGCAAAAAACCAGTAGGAAACCAGAAAGTTGCAACAGGGTGAAAAGATGTATAGCCTATTGAGAAACAGGGTAAAACATCAATGACTCATATTACTGAACCACATGCAATGAACAGGGTAAAGCATCAACAATGCATACTACTGAACCGGATGCAATGGCAACATACAGATCAATATCGGAAGCCAAAATGAACACATAAATGATTCTAATGTCCCATGTTTAATTCACTTGCAAATAATTAGGGTCTTCTGTACTGGTAATCGTATTACAAAATTCATCAAGTTATTTGACAACCATCCAGTTGTCACTCACAAGACAACAGAAAAAGATTCAGCATGTATTAGAATGGGAGTTTAGAAAAATAACATGCTTACATTGTTAAATAAAAAGGCATTTAAGACAAACAAGTAAACTGGTCAAGATCAGACATAAAAAGCACAAAAACAAATATGGAAAACAGACAACATAAATATAGGTGGCCATGGGAAATACAATGGACATTTTTAAACGTAAGAAAAGTAAAATTGGTGAATGTAAATGATAGCTTTCAGATATACATACATCAGAATGGTCAAGTAACAGAAGAACAAATCACTGAATACATTAAAAATTACACTACACACTAACATCCAGGCATAATTCTTTGGGCATTTGGGCAAAAGGATTTCAAGAATGATGTATTTAATGATGTGACTTGTTCGAGTGCTAATGTTGTAGCAATTATGAATGGCAAATAAAAATGAAATGAAATGAAATGAAACAAACAAATGACAAAAACATAACTCACATGACTGCATACATGCACAGGAACCTATCACCAGGCCCCACATAAGCAGATCATGAACCTAGCATGAACACATACACCAGACACACTTATACAGACTTGGTGACAAACTCATATGGGGCCATGATACATATGAAAATATTCACTAATCAAATAAGGAAATGCCAATATGAGACAGAATTATTACACTGACAGGAATACTAAGTGGGACATAAAGTACTTAAAAAAAAGCAAGAAACATAAGAACAATTAGGAGGGACAAGAAAATAAGTAAATACAACCATAACAATGAAAAAATGAAACTATGAGTATACATTTTAACATAATATCAATTTGAATAAGTAGCCTTGAAATGAACTGAATTTAATAAATAAAGAAAGTGTGAACAAAATATGATTACAGTCTGCAAATACAGAACAAATAATAGCCAACACAGGACAAATGCATGACAAGCACAAAAAAGGTCAAATATATTTATAAACTGCATTCCACGAATGATTTTATCAAGTATGAGTAAGTGACTACGATATCTTCAGGAAACATTTTATAAAACTACAACCCTTTGGTTAGAAACTGTTATGCAACAGAGGACTGAAGATTTCTGAGAAAGGGCAAAATTAAGTAAAAGCAAACAAAAGTAAAATGAGTCATAACTTAGGTAAAATAAGACTTCTGAAGATCAGAGATATTTATATTGATTGTGGATACATACTTTTCTAGCATTACATGAAAAAAAAAAGCATGATTTCAAAAATGTTTTTAATTGATATTTCTTAACAAAGCAATGCTTCTGAGTATAAGATTTAAAAAGACTACAAAAATTTATTTTGGAAAGTAAGGAACTAAGTCTCTAATGATACATGGGAATAGTCTCTTTCAAAGCAGACTTACTTTTACAGTAATAATGTTCAAACAGCAGTCCTGCTACTATCAACATCCAGTTAAAATTTCTGCACTACTACCAAGCTACAATGTAGGCACAAGACACTATTTTAGTTCTGGCACTGGCTATAGATTATAAAATACTTGAATTTTGAACTAACAATTAGAAACAATAAAAAGTTGCATTCTATTATGCAAAGAAAAAAAAAGAAACACATTCCACTTCAGAAAATGATTCCATGTTGTCAAATGCTGGTACTATTAGAATCATGGTATAAATATGTCTAGTGTGTTCCTGACCATGTGCATTTACAGTTCCATGCGAATAACAAAATCACTACTTGAAATATGACTGACGATTTATGTACTATTCACCCACTTACAGTTCAAGCACAGGTAACTATTTCTGCCCCAGTAATTAAATATTTATATTACATGCATACTTATTGTTATTCAAGAATAGTTTCACTATTCAATAAATGTAAGTACTGGAAACAGATAAATTTATATTAAATTAAATCCTGAAATTATGGCTAATTACAAGTGACTGCCCATGACACATTCATTACTTTATTATTAATTTCAGTACTTAATACAGCTACTGTAGCTCAATCTGATGTATAATACAGAATATTTATAAAAGTGACGCATGCATGTTATCACTAGATGATCTGTAATCTAAGGCAGCTCTACAATGTTAAAACATAAGTAATTTCAAAGCTTGCTTCATTCTTTACGTGCTGATTAAAACAAAAATACAATTCAGACACAAAATAGAGAATTATTAATATGCAAAATTAAAATAATATTTTAAGATGAAGCACAGTACTATCCTGTCACTGAATCCCTTGACCTCAAAAACAAGTTGAATGTTTTCACAGTATCTCATTTTTAGTTTTAGCCTTTATTGATCAAAGATTTCCTACCTTGACTATAACAAAACTGCACAGACATCCATACCTCGATTTCTAGATTCCTCATATCTCAAGGGCTTGGATTTCAATTCAAGAAAAGCTCCATGACACCCGATAACCGGCATCGCAATACCAAACGAACCGAACCGCGTTTACAGTAGTCGCATGATGCTAGAGCACGGAAACCGGACAGCCTCGAAGCCATTTCTGGTACGATATGATAAAACAACTCGTCTGAAATGCGTGTTTCAAATCCGAATGTAGTCAGTGGTTTTCGAAGAACCACAGACTCCATAAAACCGAACACGGTGTCATTGCAACGCGAAGATGCTCGAAATATGTTGCAGGAACTCGGCAAACAGACCGACGAAATGCTGTTGCCAACGGGAAGATCCACTGCAGTGCCACGAATCTGCAGGTGAGATCAACCATGATCCTCACGAGTCGGTAATGGCACGTCTTTCTGCAGCAGGAGTCTCTCCACAGCAATACAGCAGCATTCCATCACCAGCGTTTTCTCTACATGTACTCTGAAGCAGATATCGGGTTGAAGAACCGCTTACAGGATGAAGAAGCATTCACCTTCCCAGCCACAGTGAAGTGCTGACAGCTCTCTGGACAGCATGACAGCCATGTGTTGAACAAGTGGAACTATACTTAACTAACCACATTCATACTAATGGACAGATCTAAGAAGTTCCTTCTCTTCCACGGCTGTTGAAACATCCATACTTACACTTCATATGAAAGTTCTATATAAAGCACTTAGGAAAGGTGCCATTCAACTACCACAAAACGCACTATGATGCAGTAAACACAAAGTCAGTAGCTCAGTAACATCCTACATTACTGGAAATGTTAAACATCATATTCACCTGGATGCATATGACCTCACTGTTACTTTTTTTTACAATTCTTTTAATATCACAATCCCAACACTATATGCAGACTTTCATTTGCTTGAACACAGTCACCATGAGACACTATCACAAAGAGCTAATGCACGATAAAGAAAAGATAACATAGTCTCCTAATGATCCTCTGAGAGATACTTCATTAGTCCTTTACAACAAATGCTTCAGATCTTCGGGTACTGAAATTAAATACTCAAGGTAGAAAGTAAATATAGAATGTTAACAATCTGATACAAAACAACTTCAGAAAATTATAATGGAGAAGAATACTCAAAACTTTTGAAGGTCATTTTGAAAATAATACACCTGTGGCTCTATACATGTATAGATAGTCCTTTCTGGTACATGTGTGATCCCACACTTCAAAGCCATAATATTCAATAATGTTCTAGTCCAAAACGTCATTTTGAAAATATCATTATGATCATCAACCTGAAAGCACCTTCACATCAAAATTAAAAATATTAAAGGCATTTCTCCTTTCTAGTAATAATTTACTATTCATAATTACAAGGAAAGTTAACTGAAATAGACAGCCTCCTTTTCCTGTACATGTCATACAGTACACACAATTCTATCAGAACATTTAGGGATGGAAACTTAGAGACTTTCATGTCAACCTTTAGACTGAAGACAACCAGATATCCTGGAGAGAACTGTGCGGCAGGTTTCTACCACCTATAGTCTCACTGCAATTTAAAGATATCACATATCATCATTCAACACTGCCTGCCATGAAACTTCACTGGGCAACAGGCACATGCTTGCAAGGCCAGTTACCCGATGTAAGTTTTATTTACAAGCACTGTTCCACTACATTTCAGGTTGCATTGCTACTCTAAAATATTGTGGCCTTTGAATATGTTCATACAGCACTAAGAGATTTATTTAATGTTTCTTTATCTATATAGATTATAAATAATTATACGATAATACTTAAACATGAATGGGAAAAGTGGAAGGCAGCAGTCACAGTCACAACCTATTTTATGATACTACCCGGCACTTGCCTGGAACAACTGACAAATATCACAAAAAACTCAATATGGATGGCTGATCTCCAAGCCACTAAAAATCATATTCAATTGCTAAGAGGGCTGGGTGAATATTCTTTATTAAGTGAATATGCTGGTATTTGCTCTGTGTAGTAGAGTATTTATGGTAATTGTAGTATGATTATTTATTACAGTACTGTAGCTTCATACTGCCCCATTCTGTGGTAACTAATCAAACGCAGACTGTCATCTCCATCACATACTACTTTAATTGGGTAGTAGTGTCACCCCAAGTTTGTGCCTGTGCTTGCAAATTCCTGCCCTAAAGAAGATTCATCAAAACTGCTGATATCAGCAATGTCTTTCCTTTTATCAGTGAAACTTCACCAGCCCCCCTCTCACACCTAAGCATCAATAAGAACTTTTGGTTTTGTTTCATCACCGATTCTTTTTGACACTATATGAGCTGGTATGTACTCTGAACATTACAAATTTGTGACTGAATGCATTGATGTCTGGAACTGAAATGAATATGACAACTGTGCTACATTTTTCCACCCAAGTTGGGGATTTTTATACAGGCAGGGCCATGGATATTGCAATTGCAACAGGGCTACTGCAGTGTTTTTATATTAAAGACAAACAAATATTAGATCAAAGAAGGTTGAATTATGCTGGTTTCTTACATTACATTTCTTGTCTCAGAATATTTATGTGTATACTTCACTGTATTGGTGAAAAGATATTCCCTGACTTCTTTTAGGATTTTTGGATTGACTGTTTAATGAATTCCATCACTATTGCTGCCACTACAATGAATCTCAAGAGTAAGTTAAATATTTTGGTTCCCCTGAAAGTTCAACAGTCACATAAAATTTCTTGAACTTCTAAATAAAGAAAAGCTTTACATTTATTGAGAATAAACTGCTTGTAGCATAATGAGCACAAAATTTTTGTAAGACAACTAGCAGAACAGCTCAGCCATCAATTTCATATTCTGATGGGGTGTGCAAAACATGCACTACACTCATCAGTGAAAATTCTCTCCTGTTTCAATTCAAAGAACATGGAAAAAGCTTACTTTATACTTTAGGATGCTGACAGAGTAATCATCACAAATGACTCTCAAATTGTGCATGGCTTTTTTTTTCATATAGAGGATCCTTGAATGTTTCCATAAAATAAAAATAAGAGAGAAATTAATTACTAAAAAATGGGGCAAAAATAAAAAAGTTAATATTTCAAATTGTTATATTCCAATTGTTTAATCTTTTATAAAGAATTGAAAATAAACCATCATTCGTATTACACTTGAGTATCAACACATTTCTTTCTATAGTGCATTTGTTTTCTTAGGAAGTTTTAATAGCTGTGTCAATACATCACTACTAGCCATGAGTATACCTTCATCTGAGCACTACTGCTACATGTCCAGAATAACTTAAATCAAGTACTATTAGTAGTCTTAAATGCTAGTGAAAACATCTACATTGACATGAGTATGCATTCCATTTTTGCCCCATCTCTGAATAAATAAGGCTGCAACAATGTAAAACAATGTGTTAGGTAGTGAATACCACTCAGAGTGACTGCAGCTATCCAGCCGTGTTCCATGCTCATGTGTTTCCGTGCAAAGATGCATGCACGTGTTTGCATGTGCATGGGTGCATGTGCACATGTGTTTACAGTGATAGCATTTTCAGCACCTCTTACAATATGAGTAAGTTTCTTTTATTGTTCTTATGCAGCGATCCTAGACTCTTGAATAATTGGTAGCACTGAGCCAAAGGCAGGCTGCCACTGGCCAGTAGTGAAGAATTGACAAAAACATTCAGCTTTGCAATAAGATGCATTGTAGATAGGTTCTGTTGGCGAAATTAGTAAAGTTTGTACTTGGGGTTGTGAATTATGTGAAACCCAAATTCAGTGACAGGGTTGATAGGCTCATAAGGTTACACTGGTTTCATGTTAGGTCTAGCATCTGTAAATAAACTTCCAACTCATTAACAGGAATATGCAGTAACAGTGCCACAAATTTCCTCTCTTGGGGTTCTCACGGCAGTGAATATGAAGAGATGGTCTTCTGGGGTTGTAATGACATGTACTTCAGACAGCCCAATGTTTTAGGGGAACATACTTCCTCTATTGTGGATCTGCACATTCATTCTCCATACATCTTCATGGCATAGTGCTTAATTAGTTAAGCACAAGGACAACTTTACCTTTTTTATTTCCTGTTCTCAGGGTCAAGGAGTAGGCCAAGTTTCTGTTCCTACCTTGCCTGGTATTCTCCAAAATGTCAGGCTCTCTTCAAACTGCAGAGCTTCACAACCCTGTAGAATGTGCTCTTCAGTACCATAAAGCTGTTCTTTGAAAACATGATACTTGGTAAGGTAAAGCTATTCCTGGACTTAATTAATTAAACATTACACCATGATGAAATGTATGGGAGTGGAGGTATAGCTCCACCATTCCTAACCTCTGCATACTACTGCTACTTCACTCCGCAGTAAACAGCCCCTGGTACCCACTGAACATAGGAAGCAGGGTGGGCCCCAAACCCTGTCTGGGCATTAATGGAGAAGAAAAAATCTCGTGCCCCTACCAAGAATCGAACCCCGACTCCTCATTCGTGCAGCCCATAGCCTAGTCACTATACCCACTGAAATATCCCTTGAAACAATTTCAATTACTGCAATATTTAATAAAATGTTTAAATAGAAACACGTTTTCATGTACTTATAAATTACACAGATATGAATATCTCGTATGTATCGGTACATGATTTCTTAAACAAATTTTCTGGGAGGTGCATCAAATGTGCCCAATTAGTACCATGATATGATATTTAAATGGAACCAATTACAGTTGGTAGTTACATTACTATATTCTTAGTCTAAGCATAACATGGCTAATTTGGTTGATGATTGGCTTCATATACATTTTTAATAATGAAATACTTCAATGACCCAAAAATGGAAATGACAGCTCTGCGTAAATCATTCTTGCACGTAATGCTTTTTGTCAACCTATTTTAAGCACCAACAGAAACCCCCATTTCAGATCATACTGAAGCACTTGAAGCTGAGGACTAATCAGGCTAGCACATTTTTTTTTTTTGATAAACACATCAATGTAAGACATATGTGCCGATGCCTATTACGCATAAATCAGTCACCATTATCGCAACATACAAGCCACATCAAATTCACTGCATTTTACAAACTCTCTTCCTTATTTCCGAAATAAGTCCACATAATAGTTTATATATATAAATGTAACAATTACAATTATTATAAATCTTCAATCTTTACACCTCAAGAACAAAATTACCCACAATTCGTACTTCCACAAAGGGACTAACGAACAAACTACAATTCATTTTCAAATACCGTTGATTCAAAACTAATACATTATTACGTTTCTCCCCCATGGTCTGCCATCTATTGAGGATTCTTTACGTCTTCTATGAGCAGAGTTAAGGTTACAACGATTTTTTGATAACGGATTTGGTTAGGAATAACTTAATTATATTTTAAAATGATTCATGAATTAAATTAAAAAAATATAGGGAATGCTATATTATTCGCATACTGGTGCCAGATATCCGCTTCATTTGATGCATACGGCGTTTATGGTAATAATGTTTTATGCACAGGACAAAGTTGTGCAGGTATAAGTTCGCAGCGATTCAACGACGATGTTATTGATCCACCAATCGCAATGGTTTGAAATTAATTTACAAATGGCAGCGTCCATTGGTGCATGAGTTGTGAAAGCATTTGCTTCGAGTGGCGTAATTGCCAGAGTACTAATTGTTGTTGTTAAGTTTTGAAATATTAATAGTTGGACATTATTATTTAGAGGTATGGGTAATGTTATGGCTGGAAGTCAACCACCAGGTGGTTTATCGGTACCGGCGCCCATGCCTCCACCTCCACCTTCTACAGTTGGTTTTCCAAGTTTCATAAAAACTGAGGGTTCAGGGTCTAAAACATCAACTGATGGGACAAGTTCCGATCAGAAACAGAGCCAGATAAATGGACTGGAAAATCCTGGTTCAATGGAAGACTTACATAAAAAGTGTAAAGGTAAACATTGGCCGTAATTTGAATCATTTAACACGTGATTGTAGTGATTGAGTGATATTTGGCCAGGTTGTCATTATCTACTTTAATGATATAGCCCTGCAGTTATCTACCAACCCAGATTATGTCTTCTTATGTCCTGTACATTTCACAGTCACTGAAGCCGGTTACATTACGTTTTCTGTAATGGACGTAAATTTGATGGTCCATTGGTGAAACAGAAGTACAGTACGAGAGGGTACCCAAAAGAAACCGAACTTATTTTTTTTAACTTATTTATTCAAAATTTAAGCACAAACCTTCAATCCCCTTCAAGGTACTCTCCACTTACACTAATACACTTGTCTTTTATTCCATTTTCCAAAACATTGTCTAAATTCATCTTTTGAGATGCTTGACAGCGCCTCCGTCGTTTTTTCCTTCACGTCAGCAACATCAGCAAAACGCTTTCCTTTCATGTCTTTTCATTCGAGGAAACAAAAAAAAGTTGCACGGGGCAAGGTCGGGTGAGTACGGAGGGTGAGGAACAGGGATCATACAATTTTTGGTCAAGAATTGTCATACAGACAGGGCTGTGTGAGCAGGGGCATTGTCATGATGGAAAAACCAGTCACCCGACTGCCACAAATCTGGCCGCTTCCGCCGCAAACTGTTGTGCAGTCTTTTCAAAACTTCCAAGAAGAAAGCCTGGTTAACTGTCTGACCCTGGGGAACAAACTCTGAATGGACGACTCCTCTCACATCGAAAAAACAAATCAGCATTGTTTTCATGTTTGATTTCACCTGACGAGCTTTCTTGGGGCGAGGCAAACTTGAAGTCTTCCACTCGCTTGATTGTTGCTTTGATTCAGGATCGTAAGCATAGCACCAGGTTTCGTCACCGGTGATAATTTTTTAAAAAAAGTTTTGATCATTTCGGGACTCTTCTTTCAAAGCACAGCATGCTTCCATGCAACCTTGTTTTTGTTCAGCAGTCGTGGCACGAATTTCGCAGCCACCCTTTTCATTCCCAAATCTTCTGTCAAAATTCGCTGAACTGAGCTCCAAGTCACTCCCGACAGCTCCACAATTTCTTCAATGGTCCGTCGTCGATCTTCCTTCATGATTTCACGAATTTTTTCAACATTTTCATGTGTTCGGGCCGTGGAAGGACGACCAGAACGAGGTTTGTCATCAATTGACATTTCACCATTTTTGAAACGGGAAAACCACTCAAACACTTGAGTTTTCCCCATAGCATCGTCCTTGTACGCCGTTTTTAACATTTCAAGAGTTTCTGTTCCACTTTTCCCGAGCAAAAAGCAGAATTTCACTGCCACACGCTGTTCACGAAAATTAGCCATTGCAAAAACGACAATCACACAAAACAGTTGTCACTATAAACTCTGCCGAAACTAGTCCTTACCTTCTGAAGCAACGGTAGTCGGCTTATCGACTCAGGAATGTTAGCTCTATGCGCTCATAGCGGCAAAACGCAGTACTACAAAAGCTCTGCCCACAAAAAAATTAGTTCGGTTTCTTTTGGGTACCCCATCATATGTCAGATGCGTGTCGTCACACTACCATTATATAGTGGGAACTTTGCATTAATGGACATTTCACCACTGGACTAAGGAAATCATTTTTTAGAAACTAATATAGCCAAATATTCGACTAAGCACTTCTTTTGTGACTAGCATTTCCAAATTCTGGAAATGGTAGATCAAAACCAGACACAGCTATGGAGTCACATTTGCAGTTGGACTGTGATCATATTTGAGTTTAAGTTGAGTATAACATATGTAGGATACACAGATGAAGTTAAAGTAGTTGTGTGTTGTGAGAGCATGTAATCTTGTAAGTGGATATGAAAGTTTCCAAACACTCTGCTGCCTTCATCTTCAGGGTTGAATTGAGTAGGATGAGGATGTGACCACCTTACATAGGTAGAGTGACTTGGATCGTGGTCATTCTGGGCAGTGGGAGGGGGAAAGGAGATGAAAAGAGTCCTGTTCATGCCAGGTGCAGCAGTGAACAGGAAATTATGAGAAAACAGCCCTTAGTGGGAGCATGGCAGGAGCACATAACTGTGTTGTCACTGAAGAGAACCTTTTCCACTCCTCCATTTCTTAATCCATGTATATAAAGACTGATGAGAGGAGGATGGAAAGATATATGTTTGGAATTGGAAGGTGTGTTTGAAGACCTTCGTGTAAAGGATAAATATGAGGTTAAGTTTAAACAATTATTTCAATTTATTGATTTAATAACTTACTTGAAAATAAGTTTATAAAATAATAAATAAATTGCTGGAAAGACATGGCACTTACTTTCTCATTTACAGTTGATGTTGACTATGTTATCTTGAGAAAAAAAGAAATTGATTATTGCTTGATAGACCATTGTTGGTTTCTGAATACCAAACAATAATGATAGCCGTCTGTCTGGTAAAAGTGATTTTGAGGCAGTCAGCATTTTGTGTTTGTGTGCCTAGTGTTGTTTTCCTTATGAGACCACTTATGTGGTTTTGTTTAGGGAGATGTCCAGAAATGACCAAATTAAACCAAGATCATTGGAGCAACTTTTGAGAAAATCACCATTTTTGTATTTTGGCGCTCATGTATTTTTGGAGCTAGAATGTTCATATACATCATCTACTGACCAATGATGGATAAACTACCAGATATGTACAAAATTTGTTGAACTGTTCAGCCACTATTGAGGTGTATATCTGTACATAAAGACAGCATACCAGAACCACTTTTTATGTGTTCAGGATTGCTGAAAATACATAAATCCATCAAATTCTTGAGATTATTGTTTTCACAATTACAGTAGTTTCTTGCATATACTATATATAAGAAAAAGTAAAAAAAAAAACTGCTATACTGTGCAAAATGTTGCCAGTAAGCAAGGCAGGGACTGAAGTGGACCATGATGGCGGATTGTATGGGTCAACCAGATAGCTGTATCCCTCCATTTCTTAAGAATGGAAGTGCAACACAAGAAGTGAAATGTATCAGTTGTGAGGAATGAAGTATTGAACTACTTCAGGCAAAGACTGAAATACTATCGCTTGAAAAAATAATAAAAATATTACATGAAGAATTCAATAAGAAGACGGCAAAAATTGACGAAATTTCCGCTAACCGTAAAGAAGCATGTTCAAGCGATATCGCTGATCCTTTAGTTCAGAATAGTGCCTTAATTATCTCAAGTGCTTCTGATAATGAACAGCAAGATTTGGAAGTATTATTGAATAGAAGAGAACTACATGAGTTTTACAACATGGCCATTTGTCCTGAGGTCAAACAAACCCTATTGGGAATCATTTAAATCTAGAAGAAAGTAAAATAACTTTTAAACAGACCCCCTCTAGCAATAGTGGAGTGTTACCCAAAAGAACTACTCGGAAGCTCTTAGATGCACCAGAATAAATGAAGACACTAATGATGAAGTAATATCAACTATTCCAACCATCGTAACCTCAATGGCAATACCACGTGAGGAAGTAAATGTCCAGACCCCACTAATATCTAGAAATAGTATATTATATAATCGACTACATAAAGTCAAAAATAATGAGAGAAACAAATCAACTAAGTTATCAGAAAAATGTAAAATTTTGATTATTCGTGATAGTCATGTCAGGGGACTTTCCAGTGAGCTGAGACACAAACTGGGCGATAACTATGAGATCATGGGAATAGTAAAACGTAATGCAAATATTAATCAACTGACATGTACTGCTACACAGGAAGTACATAAATTAATGCAGAAAGATATCCTAATCTATTGTGGCAGAGCAAATGATATATCAAAAAATAATGCTGGAAGTGGATTAAACCAGGAAATCAAGTATCTGAGAAGTAACCATTTTACCAACACCATAGTAATTACAGTATCCCATAGGCATGACTTGAATCTTAATTCATGCGTGAATGAGGAAATAAGGAGGTTCAACGGAAGATTAACTGAACTGGTAAATAGTCTAAATAAGGTAACCTTAGTAAATGCCAAAATGGACAGAGAACTTTATACTAGACATGGATTTCATTACAATAAGAAAGGTAAAATAGAAATGGCAGCAAGAATATCTAATGTAATACAAGAAATAGTCGAGCAGAAGTCAAGAACTACGGTTATCCACTGAAATGGGAAACAACATTACCCGTCCATATAAAGCTAACAATAGAGTCAGGGCATGCTACCAAAGTAATCTCAAGAAATGGTACACTCAACTCAGACGAAAAAAAACAGAAACAAAGGGGAAACTAACAACTATAAGGATCATCAAGGCCCAATGCCTGACCAGGAACCTGTTCACTGTATCAAAAGGAAAAGAAGACTACCAACTAGAAATGAGGATTTTTTATGGGAATAAGAGTCTGATGCAAATAAGTCTAAATCTAATGTATCTAAGCAACCTAAAGAATCATTAATCATTATTCACCAAAATATTAGAGGTCTTGCCAATAAAACTGACGAATTCACATGTTCAATAGTAGCTAGAAATATTAGTCCTCACCTAATATGTCTCTCTGAGCATTATATGACAGATTCTAAATTATCTTCTAATAAACTGTCGAACTGTGTTTTAGGAGCAAGTTTTGCTCACTCGAGACATCTAGCAGGAGGTGTGTGTATTTATATTAAACCAGCCATAAAATTTACTCCTATTGATCTAACACAATACTGTGATGAAAAGAATATAGAAATGTGTGCGCTTAAGATCAATATTGAAAAACAAAACATACTAGTTTTATGTGTATACAGGTCACCTAGTGGCAGTTTTGATTATTTTATGAAGAAACTGGAAAAAGTACTTAATCTCCTACATAAAACAAAAACGGAATTTATAATTGGAGATTTTAATGTAAATTTTTTAAACGAGTCTGTCCATAAGACTCAGCTCCTCTTACTGTTGTACTCGTTTAATGTTTTTACTACTGTCCAGTTACCAACCAGAATTACTCAGAACAATAGCTCCCTAATTGATAATATTTTTATTGATAATTAAAGGA